CAGAACTGATTTAGTGTTATACATTTCCAACAGTGTAATCACGCATAAAATTGTTGTGATTTCTAAATGTTTAGGAAAAACATCCTAGCAGCTGATCAAAAGAAGATGAACAGCAAAGTTAATAGTGATTGCAATCATTATAGAACTTTGGATTTTAAATTAGGAATCAGTTTTAACACGTTCCCTCATTCCTACATTTGTGTGTCTGCACACATAAATAAATAAAAAAACAGCGGGATATGAGGTCCTCGTTAATACTACCCTAGATTTTCGTTAAAACAAAAGTTTTATCTTTTCGCTATTGAGAGAATAGAGCGCTTAGTAAAGAGCACTAGTCGGTAATTCAAGCTTTTTAACACGAAGATAAGTGACTAAAAACTAGATGAGAATGTGATATACGAATTAGTTTCTGGAACCCCAATCATAGAAGATTACAACGTAATGAGCTCTGAGTTTTGTTTCCATGTTACATGTAACAGACTTCATCCTCAGTAGTATCGTTTGCGTAAATATCAATAATTATATTAAATATGCCCGTCATCAAACCTCTTTTAAATTAGACTGAACCATGATTATGAAAACTAAGATACTGACCTGTCCATATAGGATTCCGATGAATGGCACATTTCATCGAAACTTTTTTCCTAATATATATCTAAGAGAAAAAGCTGTCTATACATCCCTTCTGCAAATGAGAGATTGATGTGCCTTAGAGTTATATGAAGTAATTTTATAAAGAAACTCGCATCACTAGGCTTGTCATATATTGCTACAAGATCATATACGTACAGAATCGTAAAGACGCATATTTTCGATTAATCCATCAGATAAATGTTTGAAATGTAACATAAACATAAGTTAGAAAACAATCCAAAAGATCTTCCTACAGTCACCTCACGAATCTGTCAAAATAACTCACAATCAAAAGTGAATTGAATTTGCTCAGGTAGTAATAATGATAAAACTTTCATTTTTATAAGACAATGAAATATTATTCTAAGATATGTAGTTACGTAAAATATCAATAGTGCTTTTGAATGGTACATTTGTAAACAAAAAAATTACATCGAAAAAAAAACATTGTCATACTCATGATATTTATCCAATAATTAACCAGTTTAAAAATGTGTTTTGGTGAATATTTATACGATTTTGAGATGGTGGAGATTTGTAGATCAGGTGTGTGATTTTGATGAAATTTTGTTCTCTGAGCTGAATGGTTTGGTTGTGAACCATTCATCGTTCTTCTGGACATCATCAGCACGAATTTCCAGGTGAAGTGAAATGTTATGATGTCTTCACATGTTTTATTCCAAGAATATGAAGCCATATCTGTAAGCAATATTCACCAATTTTACTATAAACTAACTTTGATTATTTAAAGATATAAGGACAAGTACAAGTATTTTTTATTGAAAACTTCCAAATATTTGAAACTGATTATTAAATCACCTTGATGTCCTGGATAAAAATTTAATCAAACTACTTATGCCTCTTAAATATGATAATTAGATTAGAATATCTGAAAATATATATGTTATCACTGATGTAATTTGAATTAATTAAGTTGCTAAATGAACTGTTTATGAGAAATTTAAAAAGTAGAGGCTTTATTTTATATATTTAAATACAATAAAGTGAATTTTCAGCATTTTATAACTTGCTTTAGATCAGCCCTCTATCGAACAAATAATTTAATAATTGAATTCATCAGTCAATTGAAAATAGAACACCGTAGAAAAATTGGAAGCACTGGACGGTCGTTTCGTCCTAGTATGTGACTCCTTAGAAGTACGCATGCATGATCCCGCTCCGTGAGATTCGAACCCAGGACCTATTAGTCTCGTATGTGAACTATAACACTATTGGATGACGGCCAGATCAGTGGCCTAATGGGTATCTTCAACCAATCCATGAAATTAAGCGACAAATCCAGCATTGTCTTTAGTGAGCTACTGTCTCACGACAACGGCATCGTGAATGAACACTGCTGAACAGCAACATACTAGAACGAAACGCCCGTCCAGTGCTTCCAGGTTTTCCACAGTGGTCCAGCTTCAATTGACTCGTGAATTCAACATATAAATTACTATGATATTCACAAAAACCCCTACTCTTATTAATAGAAATTGTAATCATCAAAAAACAAAAACCTGAACGAATTTTTTTAAATGTATTTTACTAATTAAATACATTTAGTAAACATTATTTCGTATTAAAAGAAATAACTTACGTTAAGTTGTCAATGTGTCAAATTTTCTTTGTTACAAATGATCAAAATTTGCCAATAAAGGTCTAATAAACTAATATTATTATTACTATTATTATTATTATTATCATTCTTATTGATACTAATTATCTGTCAAGTTTAGAAGGAATAATAAGATTATGACATTTCGATGCAGTGAAATTATTTTTTTTTATTCTGAAACTTTACAATTTTGACACGAAGTGAGATCGCTTGAATAATATCTCGAAGAAAATCAATAAAGCTTGAAAATATGTTCATTTGAAATAGATGATTAATTTGAAATAAAGAAGTTTTCTTTTCAATATCGTACAGTTGTTATATATAAACCGAGTCTGTTGTAAGATAGTAACCCACTGAAGTTAATAGTGAATGTGTCACCCAATTTTGTGGATTATTTGAAGTTAGACATTAACACCGTTGGATGCTGGCCAGCTCAGTGGTCTTGATGTTAAGGATTCTTGCGCGAGACCGATAGGTCGCGGATCCGAATCTCGCGGGGCGGGATCGTGAATGTGCACTGCTGTGGAGTCCAATACTAGGATGAAACGGCCGTTCAGTGCTTCTAGATTTCCCATAGTGTTCTAGTTTCAATCGACTCATGAATTCAATTATTAAATTGCTACTATCTCTGATATTTAAATCACTGAGAATTCAAATACTTTTCAATAAAAAATGTTTAACTCCATTTTTGATTCTTATTTTATCTATATATCAATTAAGAGAATTGACTTTAATAGTTGTTAGCCAACTTCTTTGTTCTAAGTTAGTCAGTATATCATCTCTTCTATAGTAAGTGTATATTAACTGTCAAATTGTATAAACGTTAGTTCGCTTCAACATAATTTATTTAAATAAAAGAATTTTGAGATTCTACCATAAAGAATTGTTCATTCAACAATTCCAGTCACTGTCGTTGTTGTTAGTGTTTTATTTTTCCAAATTTATTTTCATTTATTTTATGTCTTATAACATAGATTTTCAAGGTTGTGTAATCTATGGTTCGAACAAAAATTGTCACACTTTTGAAGTGACGTTTATCGTTTTTTCTCTCTCAATAGATTTGTACTGTAATGCAAGTCTTTCGAACGGTTTCATATATTTTATGTAATCTGTCAAGCTGAATACTGTTAATAGGTGATTATTATTATTATTGATATTGCTATGATAGTAGTTTCTGATAAGGTAAAACATTCAAATTTCCACCGGTAAACAGTTGAAAAGTTGCTTACAACAAAAGAGTAATATTTAAACTTGGATTGATATTAATTTGGTTATTTATTCTCTGAAGAAGTGGCTTACACTGTCATGAAACGTCAGAAAATCTAATTTTTCTACTCATTGGGATATTACAAATATTTTATTTATTTATAGAGTATAAATTGTTACACGTAATTATCCAGGTTTATGTTATGGTCGAACAAAGCAATTAATGAACAAATAAATCATACTCAAATTACTGTAATATCTTCACGATCAAGTAAACTATGACAAAAGTTGATGTCTATAAATAATGACTAGGATTATCTTGTAGTTGTTATTTGTGAAAATTTTCTAAGATGAGGTGTTTATGTGAACTGTTCAGTTTGAAAACTGATGATCTCAATCTCCATTATTGACAGATTCCTAATCTCATACTGATGACGTTCCCTATATTGCAACGGAATAGTTGTTTTTACTAGTTATTCAGCCAAAGTTAATCCGTGATATGAACTACAAAAATTTAGATGTGCTATTATTTCTGGTCCGTAAATGAAAAAAATCCTGAATTGTCCCAAAACGTTGATTGACAAAATTTATGAATAACTGTATTGAAATGTATATAAAAGTAGATGTAAAGAGAGTGATAATGAAGTTTATCTCTAAATGTTACGAAATAATAGAATTTATTCGCTGTCTCTGTCATGTTGTAAAAATCTAGAGTCGATATAAAGTAACGTTTAATGCAAAGGTACTCTTTTATTAAGAAATTGTTTTGTGTATGATATGTATATTCAAAATCAAAGATTTTGAAATCCTAATAGTTTCAATCAACAGATAAATAGTAGAGTGAATTAATTTCCATTGCGTGTTATTGATAAAACATTTGAATATCACCGTTCACTAAACTTCATTGTTTATAAAATAATAATGACAAAACAATAACAATACCAGTTGTGTATACTGAAAATTGTGATATTATTGATTGTATTTTCGATCATGAATCTGAGTTTCTGTCACTTTGAAACTCACCATCGTAATGTACTTGGAACTTAACTTTGATGTTCATACTGAGGATGAGACATATAAGTGATTGTTTTAAAAAACACTGAGTTAATAAATAACGATATCCATCAACTTGTCCAATCAGTAAAGTGATTACTGACATTATCTTCTGTATAAGTCCCTTTTCTGATTGTCGGCAATCAAGATTGCTTATCAACAGTGGGACTCAGGTATATCTAGTTGATGAATTCTCGACAAAATGAAAAACAAACCCTTTAACAAATGTTATACATAATATAAGGTCAATATTTCAAAGAGTAAAAATGATAAATTTTTGAAGTTCCTTATCAAATTCACACAACTAATCAACCATATTATTTAAAAGAATTTTAAGTAGTAGATAAAATAATTTCAGATTCGATTTTATTTAATAGCTCATTTAAATCTTTTCGAAATTTCAGAAACTCTTTACATCCATTATTGAATATCAGATTTCATATTCATTGAAAATAGTTGCTGATATTCATTGTTTTGATAAAGAAACATTATGAATGATAGTTTGATTGCAGTTAAAACGATCAATCCAACATGGAACGAAAAACGTCATATATTTCTAATAATTTTAATAGTTTTTGGAATGATTTCAAATATTATTCTCATAGTTATTGTATCTCTAACAAAGAGTTTAATTAAAAACGGTTTCAGACGTTCATCACGAAAATATGGTAAGTGTTAATACTTCATTTTCATATTTTCATAACATTTTAGTTATTAATCAATAATGATTTTAAATAAACATTAGCCTCTTTTTTATTCACTTGGTGTCGTTTTACTTGTATCTTCCAATTGTTGTTTAGGACTGCAATTCACCATTCTCTTGTTGGTATATGTGCATCCTGTGCGGACTGCCTCGATATGGCCCGAAGTCACAAGCTTTATAAGCAAAGATGGATAGTGGTTAGCATTGGAGTCCAGGACACCCATTTTGTCCTAGTTGGGATTCGTCAGTTGGATGTACCTGCATCAAATGCAGTCCTACACAACAATGCGAAGATACGAGTAGACAACACCAATTGAATATAACTTTACCCCATTGCACAAGCAAGTGGCTACCAGAACTCAGTGTCTAAGTGGATAACCCCATGGCGTTCGAAGCGAACGCTACTGGGTTTTAGTCCCAAAGTGAACATCAACCCTGCGATGCAGGTATATTCAGCCGACGAGTCCCAAATAGGCCGAAACGCGCATCCTGAGTTCCATTGCTAGGCACTAACCATCTTTCATTAACCTCTTTTTATTTACTAAGTTATGTCCTCAAAGAAATGGTATTGTTGACAATGTGGAACGGGAGTATTTATTTTGTTTTTGATGAACTTCAAGGCTACGCGGTTGGCCGATAGGAATATCATTAAAAGTCTCATTTTATAATCTAAATTCTACTGTATTTGTGTATCCAAAGTCGAAGAAAGATCTATAAACTGGTCACGTTATTCAGTCGATTATCTACTTCTATTCCTTTATTGCTTTTCGGAAGCATCTGACGGAAAGCACGGAATATTTCGGACAACTTGCATGCGACTAGATGATTTGGGCTTCATGGATGACCTGGTTCTTCTATCCCTTACACACGAAGAAATGGGGATGAAGACAACTAGTGTAACAGCAGCCTCTGTCAGTAGGTCTCAACGTGCACAAAATAAAAACCAAGATCCTACGACACAACGCAAAGAACGCCAATCCAATCACACATGATGGAGAAACTCTGGAAGAGTTGGAATCCTTCACGAACCTGAACAGCATAATCGATGAACAAGGAAGATCCGATGTAGACGTAAAAGCGAAGATTGGCTAAGCAAGGACAGCATTCCTACAGTTGAAGAACATATGGAACTCAAAACGACTTTCAAACAATATCAAAGTCAGGATCCGTTCAGTAGACGTCTCAAGTGATAAATATGCCTTTGGTGTATACAAGATTAGGTGCACATATTTCAAAACAAGTCTTTTTGAAAGAATATCCAACACTTTTAGGGCCGAAACGAGGGATTCACTTAAACTGTACTAATAGTAATGTACTACTAAAATTATTATTATTAGTTATACAATGTTTACAATTTTAATCGACTTTATGTATGTTCTGTTGTCTGATTGAAATGTACTAATCAAATTACAAGCTTGATTTGCTTTAATTTTCGGTGAAGTAAGAAAGTCAATCAACAACAGTTTTAGAAAACTGTGAGACAATCCAAGTAAATAAATATTTAGTAGTGGAATTCAAAACTTGCGCTTCGTCCTATTTGTGACTTGTAATCTGGGTTCCAGAGTTGATGTTCACAAGTAAATACAAAATCTTAACGATTGCGTTAAAATACATAAATATCCTAAATACTACTGGAAAATTCTTCGAAGAAACCATATTTATCCAAACTCGAAATCTCTTAAACGCCATGCACAAAATGTTATTGACTCTATTCGTCCTCGCATTCCGTTATTGGAACTCAACATTTCACAAAGATCTCCTGTATTATATGAATTATCACCTGATGAACACAATCTTTTCACCGATTATGTTATTGTACAGCTTGAAAATGAACTCACCGAAAAGAGAACTCTTCGCTGAACTAATCTTTCTTTCTTATTCAATACAAAATCTGACTAAACTTTACTAAAAACTTATTCATCCATTAAAGCACAGTAGTGGTACTGTGTCAAGTTTTCAAAACATTCGGTAATACTAGTATAGGGGTTGTGGAGATTATTAAGTTTTTGATTGAGATCATGAACCGATTGATGTTTAACCACCACAATTGAAAACCTGGAAGCACTGGACGGCCGTTTCGTCCTATTGTGGGGCTCCTCAGCAGTTCTCATCCACGATCCCGCTCGCGGGATTCTTAACCAACTGGACCACTGAACCGGCATCCAGTGGTGATATTTTCTAACATCAACCAATCCACGAAATTGCGCGACCAACTTCCGTTGTACTGAGGTAGATACCTGTCTCTACCCGACAAGGATTAGCTCCACTGGTCACGGCTTCTCACTAGAACTCCGAGAATTCCCTCATGAAGCTAGTCACTAGTGAGCACATGTTGATTACTAGTATAGGGGTTGTGGATATCATTAGGTTTTTGGTTGAGATCATGAATGGATGGATGCGCACTGCTGAGGAGTCCCACAATAGGACGAAACGGCCGTCCAGTGCTTCCAGGTTTTCAATTGTGTTGGTCTAACATCAATCGGTTCATGATCTCAATCAAAAAAATTCGGTAATATTAGTCAAGTTTTATCTCTTTCAGAAAACACGTGGATTAACTGATGAAACAAAATCTATCTTCATCATTCCACCACTAACAATCCACATATTGTCAAGTACACTACTAAGGTGAGGACTCACAGAAAACAAAATTAAAAAGCCTAACCAAGTATTCTATAAATATGTGTTGTTTATACATAATAAGGCGTAATTCGAAAACAATAATCAAGAAAGGTTCATATTTATTCTGTTATTAATGATTCGAAATGTGTTTTTGCGTATTCTACCCTTACTTACAGCAAAAAAAAGTAGTTGATAATTATACTGTAACAAAAATGTTGCTCTCATTTGTGCCTTACCTTCTTTAGTTCACTAGTTTTCTCTAGCTAACTTTAAAAAACCATTGTGATTCTAAAATAACTGTTGATACAGGTTATTTTTGGAGATTACAGTATTTTCGCAGGTGAAATCACGAAATGAACTTAGCTAGACAATCATTGGAAACCTGCAAGTACTGGCCTTCACGGTATTGCGCATCTACGATGCCTCAGGCGTGGATCAATCGCAGATTTTTCGGTCTCAGGCATGAGCACTTAAACCAATGAGCCAGTATTCAACACTGCTGAACCATTCGCTCGTGAGGCAAATGTCCCTTTACTCGATATCCGTTTGCGGCGTCGTAAACGTTCAATACTAAAGAGTACCATACCGAGGCGAAACGGCAGATCCGTGCCCCCAGGCTTTTATTGATGGACTAACTAAGATCACTTCATGATCGTGATTGGGAAAATTGTTTAAAATCACAAACGTTTGTTGCAATTTCGATTTAAACTTTGGTTTATTTGTAGTTTGTATTTTCCAGACAAAACGTATTTAGAAAAGAAAAACAAAACGTTATGTTATTATTATGATAAATTAGGAAAACAAAACAAAAAACATGAAACAAATAAGCACAAAATATTTTCATAATATTATAATTTTTATTAATAAGACAAATCAATGTTTCGAAATCATGTGGGAATTATTAGAAAAAAAAACAATTTTTGGAAAGATGATGTTATCTCCCAGACTTTGTTGTTTAGTCTGATCATAATGTTTATTAAGTGAACCTTGTTTCTCGGTTTCATGAATGAGAAGAATAAACAACTATTACTTTTAAAGAGGTAGTTGTTTTTCGTTTGCGTGGATAAAGATGATCAGGAGGAACATAGGAACCTGAACTAGTTGATAATTGAAACTCCTCAAGAAGACTTATCTAACATGTGGAAAGAACTGATACTCCATAATTTTGTTAGAGTTCGATTGGCCATAGGTATTAAGTAGCTCAAAGAATAAGGTGCAATAAAATATTTGTTAGTGCTTAGCGATTATTCACCATAGATAGCTGTTGTCTTTACTATGAAACGTGTTGAAATAAACACTTTGTATTTTCAACAAAGACCTCTCTACTCAAATTTCAGAACGGTTACCATGATTATTTTGAACATTTCGAATTAATATCCCAGTATGAACCTCGTTTAGTATTTTTGAAATGTTTAGCCTTTAGGCTTCAACTTGACTCTGCTTGCCTGGAATTAAAAAAAACACTGGTGAAAGACACTTAAAATAAACATGTCGGATCAATATTTAAAAAAAGCCAAAAAACAGTTGATCTAGTTAATTACAGCTCAAGGTTGACAATAGTGTCTTAGCTAGAAGCGTAAATAAGATTCTTCTATTTCCTGTTATTGTAATGTTTTGTGTAACTTTGAAGTCTATTGAAATGAAATTGTCAGTTTTGTTTTTTGTATTTCAAGTCTTCACCAAAAATAAGCTCTCGTCTGTTTGTAGATGCTAGTTTTCCTGTTACTTCATGAAAAGGGGTAGTAATAATGACCAGTGTTCACATTCAGTTCCTATATGCAACGCGTTTTGTTACTGAGGGTTTAACACCCGGGCGAAACACAGAACCAAGTGAGGTTTTATCTCAAACGTTGGTTCAGATGCAAAAAAGAGTTTCTATAGACGTGTATGGAACGGTGAGGTTATTATTATTCAGTCAAGATAGTAACAATGTATTTAGTTATCTTCTAGAGCTTTTCCTTTGGAAGTCCCGAAACAAAGCTTGTTATTGAAGGTATTTTCAAAATTTTACGGTTTCTAAATACTTTTTCAAGAGGTTATCAAGACTCTAACAATATGGCGCCATTCGGTTTTACAAGGCAGAATGGAAAGTGGTTAGGAGTTTGACTGATGGAAATTTACCAAGTTCAGAAATTTGTTTTCTAAATCTGTCAAGATGGAACCGTTTGCGACGTTTCAAATGACAGGCGATTCACTAAATCATGATATGACATCTTACCTGATTTAACACAAGAAAAATCTCTTAACTTCATGCTTATTGTCTACATAGTTCCTCTTTTTATTCTTCATGCTTCTGCTTGCAAAAGAAATCTGCGAAAGCAACTGAAACATCAACTTACAATTGATCCAGTTGCTTCAGCTAATTGGTCTTATACTACCAATTATTTTAATGAGATTGATTCAGTTATTTTAACTAGTTAATTTCGTTCACATAACAATCCATGGCTAGTTGGCCTCATTATTTCGATTAATAATGTCATATAAGTATTCCTCGGTCTTTGTTATGATAATTTACAATTTATGACTTGGAATTACAAATCATATTTTAAATTTATTATGATTATTGGGTGCATAAATTTTCTTACACACATGGAAAAAATATTTGGCAAATGTCTATTTACTGAAGTTACACTAGTTTCAGTGACGGGTATTTCGAATTATTCTCGTGTAATGAATTTATTTCCTATTGTTAAATACTTTAGGCTTATGTAACTAAAGCTCTAAAAATTATATGATCAATTTATGATTTCTGAACACACTTATAATGCAAATGAGACAAGTTTGAGCGTATCAATGAAATGTGTGGGGAGGCATGTATGAACATGAACAATTTCTGTAGTTCAAGTGTTGCATATACTTTTTTTCACCCGGAATCCTTCTTTATGAATATTAGATAAAATGCAAACTAAGCTTTATTATCATTTACATTTACAATAGGCCAAATAGAATTAGTAATGTATTGCTGGCACCATTTCCTAGACAAAAACGAATTACTTCACTTTTGCAAAAATGCCTTAATTACTGTCCATAATGGTTTTGAAATTAGAACATCATTCAATGTAATAGAGGATTACTAGTTTAGAGATAATGTCAAAGTCTAGAAAATAATATTTTCAATGGTTCGGATCCCTACATATATATAATCTATTTACGAAATTCTAGATAACACCGCTTGTCACGGTATAATTAGAGCTTCTGAATAGTAAGACTGATTGTGGTATCAAAGAATTTAATTGAAACGAGATTATATTCAATTACCAAACTACTGTTCATGTATCTGAATGTTTGTTGTCTAATTATGTACTGCATATCTTTAGGTGAATTAATAAGATCAAGTGATAAATCTCTTCCAACAAAACATATACTTCAATCTATAATATTATCAAAATGTTGTACAATTTCGAGCGATGAAAAAGAGTTCATCATTCAATCCAAGTCGACACATTCCTGTTGTGAATTTGAAATGAATTGGGGTTGTTGTTATTACAAGACTCAATGTCATAGTCATTGTTTCTCAACTTCATCTACAGTCACTCCAGTACCAACTACTATAGAGTTGAATATTTTATCAAGTCATCGAAATAGTAGTTATGCTGATGATTCTGTAACAGAAATTCCAGAAAAATCAGAAAATCTATCTACTAATTCAAAAACAAATTTAGATAAATACAATTTAAATCAACCATGTGAAATAAATAAACCATTTTTTCTAAATACAAATCAACACTTAACAAACTATGAACAATATTCCAATTCTAATATGAATAAATCAGATTTAAGTGATATGAAATTAAATCAAGAATTAACACTACCTAGTACATCAATCCATTATCATCATAGATCTTTATCTTCATTTCCTAATGAACAAACTATTCCAGATCTTGAACAAACTACATGGTTTATTTTATGTTTTTTAATAGAAATTTTAGCATTTGCACAAATTGGTTATTTACTATTTGAAGATCTGTTACCATGGTTATCAAATTTATTAATATTTTATTATAATTTTAATATTAAATTAAAATTAAATATTAATTGTCGTTTAAAACGTATGTTTGGTACATTTTTTTTATTATTTGAAGAATGGTGTCTATTTCTATTTGGTATTGAACGTGTTTATAATATTTATTTATTAAATCACTATGGATTCAATAAAAATACACAATCAATAATGAATGAACGTAATCGATATAAATTACATTTATTAAGTATAAAAATTTGTACAGGTTTATTTATTGCAATTATATTCTCTGCATTATGTAATTATTTATGGGTATTTGGACAATTTCATTGGATTAATTCAATTAATTTAATGAATCAAACATATAATATCACATTGATAGAAACGGTTACATGTAATGTAAGATCAGAATATTTTAAATTTTATTATTCATTTCTTATTTATTTAGATCCATTATTTTCATTTATTATACCACATTTATGTTCATTATTATTTATTATGATTATTCTATTACATTATTGTCTTCAATTTATTTATCGACGAGTTCAAAGAAATTCTACAATACAAACAACTAAAATATTAATAGAAGATGATTATTTCAATAGATTATCATCTTATAGAAACTTTAATACTTTCTATATAATGATTGATCATTTGACAACAATCATATATCTTTTTGATAGTATTATTATTGTGATATTAAAATTATGGCGTAATATTGAAAAATCAGTAATGGTATATTTTCATATTACATTCAATATGAATTATTATATGATTAGAAATGAATTGTATCATTTAGAATTATGTTTAATACCTATAATAACAATAATAATCTATTTAATATTTCATTATAAAATTACAAAATATTGTAAATAATCATAATAATAATGAAATCTCTTGACATTTTGGATTAATATACTTTTGAAAAGAGCAAGAATAAAGATTCGGACACTTTTAACGATTTTTCAACATTGTAGTTAAACAATATAAAAAGAAGGAATGAATCAACCGGAAAGATCTTTCAATCTGCATATATATGATTTATAATAATAATGAAATAATATTCATCGAGTGGATACGTTTCGTAATAATTATACAATGATATATTGATTATAAATTAGAAGAAAGAGGATTAATCATCATTAAAGTTGCTGGATTTTCGAACAATTACTTTGATTATAATGAATACTCTTTCTGCCAATTTGTAATCGATATATCATTATATAATTATGACGAAACGTATCCACTCGATGAGTACTATCTCATTATTGTGAATCATAATTATATATCTTAGTGTACAGCCATAATGAAAAACTAATTGAAAATAAGTCTCTTCGCTTGATTCGCTTCTTCTTTATTTACCGAATCTCAAACTGAGAATTTTCACTAAATTATATATATATATATATATATATATATATATATATATATATATATATATATATATATATATATATATATATATATGTATTTTTCATTGAATGTACGAAGAAAAAAACAAAAACAAAGTATTTTATTTGACTGTTTTCCATTCGTGTCTTTTCTCAATTCTAAATAAATGCATATGACCAGACTATAATTTATGGATGATCTGTGAACGAAACTTAAGTGTCCTTGAGAAATATTAGCCAATCAGAAGACAGTACAGAATAAGAATATAATATACAAAATCAAAGAATTAAGGCAGATACACTTCTGTTACATGGTTCAAAAAACGTGTTAACCTTAGAAAGAGGTGCAGAGCTTCTAAAATCGTAATCCATACAGTAGAAGAAATCACCTATATGGCTCAATAATAGTCGGCCTCTCGAGCCATGAAAAGGTGGTAAAAACTATTTCAGCCTTGATCACATCGCTTTACTATTGGTTGTGTGCACTCCAGTTGTTTGGTCGACGATGCACATAAACGAGACTATGTAGCCATCTGTACTTTCTCCAATCATTCGCATATATTGTAGTACCTGGTGGCAGCCAGTGTTACTGGTGATTCTATTATACAGCTGGCAACAACTGTCATAATTTGCCTTAGTCTCAATCTGGATAGTGCGAAAAATATCTTATTGTGACAGACTTCTTCCTCCAACACATATTACATCGAAAGATATCATCATCACGGTAGTCTGTACAAGGTCCATAAGTCATTTGATTACCACGATCACAAATAAGGGAACTTCATAGTAGTCCCATTTATTGTAGTCGCTCATTCATCACGTTTTCTCTAAAATTTACTGTGAACGGATTTTACGTGAACATCAGGTACTGAAATTGGCGCCGTTACCTTCAAACATTTCTGACTGGCTCGTTCATAAATAATAGTCTCATCACAGATATTTTATCAAAAAGGTTTTTGTGGAGATCTTGGTAATTTTATAGTTGAATTCATGAGTCAAATGAAGCTAGACTACCATAGGAAACCTGAAAGCACTGTACAGCCATTTCGTCGTGGTGTGGTACTCAGCAGTGAGCATCCGCAACTTAATGGCCGTCCAGTGCTTTCAACTTTTCCATGATGGTCTAGCTTCAATTGACTCATGAATTCGATTACAATAAAACACAGATATTTCCCAAAAAGAAGCATTTATAGCAAAAAATTCAATAAATTTAACTGTCTACATAGTAGATATGTAAAGATAAAACTAATTTTAAAAACACTTGTCACTATTCCCTGCAAAATCAGTGAAAGTTTGTAAGTACTGGAGAGGTATTTTATTTTACCTTTGTGGCCTCAAAGCAGTGAGCACCTCAGTCCGAGGAGCGAACGTTGGCAATATCTATCTTATCCTCAAATATCTCTTAACTTTACCATTCGTTGTGATAGTCGCTAAACACATAGTTTGTAGGTTCATTTACATATAAAACAGTAGGTTCTAACCGTGTAGACGCTTTAAATATAAGCTACATAACTGATTACAACTATCTCGTTCTTAATGGTTCATCGAACAAAGAAGACTACATTCAAATAAAATTATATTATGGTGAGTTTAAATAATAATATGCACATATTAGGCGTTCAGTACCGTTTTGGATTTTAATATTTCTAAAACATGTGTGTAAAAACTGACTACGTCTAAATCGAATAGATAAATGCTAGCTAGCATTAGAGTCCAGGACACGCGTTCCGATCTATTTGTGACGTGTAAGCTAAATGTACCCAAATCCTAAACTTGATATTCATTTTAGAATATAAACCTAATACCTTTTGCTTCAAACTCCAACACCTTATTAACTTAGCTGTTGAGTGCAGATAACCGTTAACTTGTGCAATTTGTATGAAGTTTACTTTTTTAGTGCTTTAGATTATTTCAGTATTAATATTTTGACAAAATGTTAAACATTCCAGATGGTAAATGTCCATCTGTTGTAACGTGTGTGGACTTGCAGGTTTTGATAAGCAGCGTATTTATCGATCGCCTCTGTGACAGTGGACACGTAAACACGCAGTGGACGACCTAGTGCCCTGATTGGCCCTGCTTCGCTGTCTGTCCTAGCCAGTTGAGTCAAGAACGCAAGTCACAGCCTCTGAGTTATGAATCATTATATTTCAAACATACTTTGTTTATATACCAATCAAGCATACCACATCGTACCATAAAATAGGAACAACATTTACAAAATATTTAACAAGTGAAATAAACATCGACTAATAAGAAATGTACATTTAAGGTTCAAGGCCACCGTAGATTTAACACGATAATTATTGGTATATTTTCCGACTATCCTAACACCATCAATTCAGAGATGCAGATTAATCCTGGTGGAGACTCCAAAATAAGATGAAATACATATCCATCTTTCCACTGCCGGTCACATATCTGTTTTGTACATAGCTGTATATATGCCAACCAAAGCCGATAAAAATTCAATTAAAATATCAACAATGGAATAATCCATATCACCAGAAATTAAATTAATTCCTTACTGATTTAAAAAGATTAGTTACCAGTTAAAAATTGGCTATCATTAAAGAACAAATATTTTTACGACTAATCTTTACAAGTATTTCTCATTTACTAAACTAGAAGTAAAAATAGAAATGTAAATTTTCATTAATTCATCTCCAAAAATCAATAATTGTCATTACACTTAATTACACAGTGTTAACAGCTAGAAATAACAATGAAACAAAATTAACATAATGTTAAGAAGACTTCTGAGAATTGTTCATAATCACGTAATTATAAGTTACAAAAAAATTTTTTTGTAAACGTCATCTTATGATGATTTGAATTGTTTTTTCTGGTTAGCGTTTTTTTTTAACGAGTTTGTTTTCTACAGGATGGGGTTGCTAACACCATGCCCAACCCTCCTCCTTTAATTGGACGTGAAACCGGCAGTAGCTCCAGAGGGCTCCAGGCAGAGTCGTCATCTTATAATGCTTTCATTTTAACAAGAAAAGAAAATCTTATTATGTAACTGTCAACAGAACGAACATACAACCAAAAAATAAATAGTAATAATAAACCATGAAGCCTAGGAATTATTATCCATCAGATGAAGTAGTTTCCTATATGATAAAAAATCAATCTAATAATTACAACTAATTACTTTCAAAGAAGTATTTACAAATTAGTTAATATGAACATTAAATATCTTTGAGATGAGATGAATGAATAAAAGAATACTTTTATAAATACTTTATAAATTTTTGGATATATCGTTAAGTTTAACATTTTAATATTCACAGTGTTGTAACGTGTGCGAGACTGCAGGGTTTGATAAGCAGCGTATTTATCGATCGCCTCTGTGACAGTGGACACGTAAACACGCAGTGGACGACCTAGTGCCCTGATTGGCCCTGCTTCGCTGTCTGTCCTAGCCAGTTGAGTCAAGAACGCAAGTCACAGCCTCTGAGTTATGAATCATTATATTTCAAACATACTTTGTTTATATACCAATCAAGCATACCACATCGTACTATAAAATAGGAACAACATTTACAAAATATTTAACAAGTGAAATAAACATCGACCAATAAGAAATGTACATTTAAGGTTCAAGGCCACCATAGACTTAACACGATAACTATTGGCATATTTTTCCGACTATCCTAACACACAGTTACAACTGGACTTGTCCTACAAATAACTGTATTTTCGTTAAAATAAAGCTTTTCAATTCATTCACCATTAATTGTAATCAAAATGTGTTCGGTTTCCAAGGGTATAAACTATTTATGCACAAATTAGGGTATAGTAGCGATAGCCTTTTGATATAACTTCTAATTCCTTCTTATAAAGCGTTTTAGATATAGACATTGTTATCTATCAATTAACATAAAATCGCCTACCTTTCACCATGGAGATTGTTACTTACTTAATTACTTACGCCTGTTACTCCTCGCGAAGGAGCATAGGCCGCTCACCAGCATTGTTATTCAACGATAATTGAGTTTGACCTCCATTTACTTGTAACACAATTCTCCTATTTCGAATATGACTATATGACCTAACCAAAGACGGAAAAGACGGGTAGATTTATACATCTCAGTACAATTATTCTCATACTGATTTTATCTCTAATAATTAGTAGTTTAATTCTAGACTAATTTTTGAACATCTATTTGTAAAGAACATCTATTTTAATAGTTGAGATCATGAGTCAATTGAAGCTAAACCACCATGGAAAACCTGGATGTACTGGACGGCCGTTTCGTTCTATTATGGGACTTCTCAGCAGTGCGAATTCACGACCCCGCCTCGCGAGATTCAAACCAAAGACCTATCAGTCTCATGCAAGAACGCTTAACATCTACACCAATGAGCTGGCCGGCATCAAACGGCGTTAATGTCTTACTTTAAGTAATCCATGAAATTGAGCGACTAATCTACCATTGTCTTCAGTGAGTTACTATCTCACAACGGACCCGTTTTAACTTC